AAACAAACAAGCAAACAAAAAAAAAACCCATATAATGCTGCAGTCTGGCTGGGGACAATTCAGGAGCCACTTATCAAGCAGAAACCAACTTTATTTTTAGAACACACACACCATACTGCAAGCTCTTCAGGAATTCCCTCAGAGCCCAACTGCCACCACTGGCTCTTCCCCAGAGCCTCTCAAACCCCCACTCCTCCCGCTCTTGAGGCTGATTGGCTGGATCCCATGGGCGGAACCAAAAGAGTCCCCCAATGAGCAGCTCCGTGGTCTGAAAGGTCGGGGGAAACAGCCCAATGAGCATCACCCCAGAGGAGCCAATCAGCTGGCAGCTGGAAGTTTGCTGGGGCCATGGTGAGCCAGTCAGCTGGAAGTTTGCTGGGGCCCCTTTGGCTGTGGCTCTCAACAACACAACACCAAAAAACTCATTAGCAATAGAAAAGGACCTCATCATTAAGCCGGTGGTAGACCATCAACATTCTGTGGAGTCCTGCTGATAATCTAACTGTTGATAATTTTGAAGAACAAATCAAGGAGGAGTGATTGCAACACAGGAGCTTATTTCTTTAAACATCTACAATTGCAGTTGATAAAGAGCATTCCATCACTGCTCATTTTAAAATCATGCAGGTAACTGCTGGAATCTGTCAGGATTAATCTGATGAGATTAATGACGTGTTAATCTCATCTCATCCCAAAGACTATTATTCACATCAAATTCCTAATGACCCAGATTGTAAAAGATAGTCTCAGGTCCATAATGCTTGTGGGTTTCAATCCAGTGCGTACTCTTTCTTGCACAAGTTAGCTGGAAGCCAAAGAGATTTTCAAATCACCTTGTTTTCCGAAACAAGGAAATGTTTTCTGAATGATTCTACTTTCTTACGTCTGAGAAAAATCTAGCATCCCAGCAGCTGTCATTATGAATGGATCTTGGGAGATCATGGCATCTGAGAAGACTAACTTTAGGTGTCAACCTGACTGAATTAAGGGATACCTGGATCACTGGTAAARCACTATTTAGGTGTGTCTGTGAGAGTGTTTCTGCAAGAAATGGACATTGGAATCAGTGGATTGAGTAAGGAAGATTCGCTCTCACCCAGCTTTGGCAGGTACCATTCAATTGGCCGAAGGTCTRGATAGAACAAAATACAAGAAAGGTGAATTTGCTCTTTCTCTTGCAGCTGGGACAACCCTCTTTCTCTGCCCTTGAGTATTAGGACTTTGTGGTTTTGGACTCTCGGACTTACACCAGCGATCTCTCCCATTCTCAGGCCAGTGTCCTTAGACTGAGTCACACCACTGGCTTCCCTAGTTCGGAGGCCTTCCCCTAATAAGTTGTGAAAGAGATGTCCAGCCTGCAAAAGCCTGAAATATTGACTAGCTGGCTTTGTGTGTGTGTGTGTGTGTGTGTGTGTGTGTGTGCGCGCGCGCGCGCGTGCGCGCGCGCGCCCTCACACACTACTGGATATTGAATCCAGGGTTGCTCTACCACTGAGACACATCCCCATCCTTTTTTATTTTTCATGTTGAGATGTTCTCAGTTTGTTCCTGAGGCTGGCCTTGAACTTGCAATCCTCCTACCTCAGCCTCCCAAGCTGCTGGTATTACAGGTGTGTGCTGCTGTGCCCAGGAAGAAATCTGTTTTAATATATTCACGAACCCATTTTTGTATACAACAAATACCTCAAATCTTAAAAACCCCAACTGCTTATTTATTTATTGTGCTGGGGATTGAACCCAGGGCCTAGGGGTGCTAATCATGGGCTCTGCCACTAAGTTGCATTGCCAACTCCAACCCTTTCTGTGACTGTCTTTGTGGGCTGGCTTTGTGGTTGATTTTGAACAGCAGTGGGGCAGGTCCCACACAGCCACATCCCTGATTCTCTCACTGCCTTCCTACCCCTCTTCCTCCCACTAGCTTCTTCCTTGAAAGTGTGCCCTCCCTCCCCGCAGGGCCTTTTTGCTGAACAGTTAACTGTTTCTGGAACTTTATTTCTCTATGGTTTGTTCCCTCACTTCCTTCTGGTTTCTGTGCAAAGGTATCACAGGGCCTCCTCTAACCATTCATATAAAATAGTATCTTTCCTCTGCATCTCTTGCCCCGTGCTATTTTTTCTTGTAGAACTTTTTATCCCTCGACATGTATGTATTAACTCTGTCCCCCACCCCGCAGGACATTGGCTTCAATAGAGCAGAGATGTTGCCTTGTCTTTTCTCTTCTTTATCCCTGACACTTAGA